CCGCACGGGGACTGATCAACCCCGAGACACGACGGTGGTGTGCAACACTCCAGCGTGGTGCTGCCGGACAGGTGAGTTGGGGATAAGCCTGGGCTCTGGGTGGCGCGCACCTACAGGGCTTTTAGACTCCCCTCAGGCTCACGTGTAGGTGACGGGTTCTTTAAGTCACACGCGGTGAGTTACAGCCCTTAGAGGTTAAAAATGGGTAATTTACCGAGCGCAGAGGCGCGGCCCTTGGTAAAGGCCCTTAGGAAGCTTTTAAAAGCTAGAGACCTCAGGGTAGGTCAAAAAACACTGAAACTATTCATAGCAGAGGTAGATAGGGTGGCTCCCTGGTTTTTACCCACAGGGCATTTAAACCTGCCGTCATGGGACAAATTAGGCCGGGACCTCGCCTCGGCGGAATTGGGAGGCGATATTTCGCCGGCTATTCGCCCCCTGTGGGAAATGATACATGCGTGCCTTGACTCCTATGCCGAGTTGCGCCGCGAATTGTGTGCGTGCGCCGCTCGAAAAAAGCAGAGAGAGGAAAAAGGGCCCCCGAGCGCTCTCTGGCGGGGAGGAGATAGAGAGCCATCCGCTCCGCCCTGGAGCTCTTCTCCAAAAGCGGCTCCCCGCCGAGAGGCCGCTACAGGGAACCCTCCCTTCTCTCAGCCGGCACAGGAAGTGACGCCCCGTTCCACTCTGTCGCGATCGCCGTCCTACGTTGCGCCGCGGGGCGGACGGTATTTTCATGGGCGGCTACTCTGCCGAGCAGGCTGAGAAAAACGCCGGTCGAGGAAACGGGGGCTGGGGATTTAGCTCAGCGGCATAAGCGCCTGCCTTGTAAGCAGGCAATCGCGAGTTCGATCCCTGGCACCGATAAAAAAAAAAAAAAAACGAAAAAGACCAAAAATAAAAAAAAAATAAAAAATAAAAAATAAAAAACAAAAAGGGGGAGTAAGCCAAGGCCTGCCTCCAAAGGCGCGGTTATCTATGGCATGACAATGGATGGGCCCGGATCCGGTGGTTAGCTGGAACCGAGGCGCGGTTTGTGTTTTTCTGCAGGAATCGGGACGAGAACCACTGTGGGTCCCAGAGAGGTTGCGACAAGTCCCTCGACTGAAGATCAGGCCTGTTCCACCAGAGGCCAACCGCAGACCCAACAACAAGATGAGCCCTAAAAGAACTGCAGGACAATCCCTTTTTGGGGAGCCTGGAATGGCTTGCTCCCCTATGTTTTACCATTGTTAGGTCCCCTGTGCTCCTTGCTTCTGCTCTTACTTGTAGGACCATTCTTGCTCCGATGGGTTACATCATTTATTAATGGGCGCCTTGCGGCGGCCCGGCGTCAAGTACGCCTGGTTGCCCATGCGGCCCTGGCAGCAGCCCGTGATGGGCACAATGACCCCCAGGCCTACGCATGGCTCGCTCGACTGGCCTACGACCGGGTCTAGGTGTGGCGGGTCTTCCGCATTCCTTCCCTAATGACACCACACAGCAGGGTAGGTGAGTCAGTGACGGGTAAGAGCGTGCCTCCCCAGCACGACTCGACCTAGGCCAGGCCCTACCCCATGGCGCACGAAAGCCGCTGGATTACTAGAATCTGCCCAGATCTAGATGCCTCTCCGAGGGGATCACACGGAGGGGCATGAGTGCATGCCTATGTGCATCCAGGTTCCGTCCAGTTCACTCCTGGCCCTGGAAAAAGGACGAGGGTCTCAAGGCCTTGGCGGACCCAGGGGCGGCCGACCAGGGTCCAAGCCAAGGGCCTACGGTGGGCCTCAACACAGGGCATAAGCCTCTGCACTTGATCCAGGGTGGGCTGCGATGCATACATTCATTCAAAGTAAATAAAATAGGGGGAGATGTTGGGAGCCGCTGACACCGGTCGCCTTACTTGGCGGACGTAGGGCCTGTGGGTGGGAGCGGAGCCTGAGCTAGATTGCCCCTCCCATCGAGTGAGTCAAGTTGGCGCCTGCTTCCTGCCCCCTGATTGCGCTGGCGACTTAAACAACCCGCTCTGTAAGATAGTCTGCCTAGCAACAACTGATGTTAGCCAATCAGCCCGCATCGCGCGCTTTGAACTGATTGGCCACTGTCACCCTATAAAAGTAAATGCCTCTCCCGCCACGAGACAGGAAGCACATAGGAAGCACAGAGAGAGATAGAAAAAGTCCACCGGCGAGAAAGGGCTGGTGGCAGAGTGGAGGCCTCGCGGGGCCCACGCGGAGATAAATAAAGGCAAGGTTGCACACCGCCAGACTTTGTCATGTGTCTTTCCTGCCGGCCGGGAGCGACCCCGACACTATAGAAACTGATTTTTGAGACTATATGCCAGAATTAAAGAGGCTGGAATCCTCAAGACCTGTGTTGAAGCTGCAATCCTTCCGAAAGGATTTGCATTGCTTCTTCAAGAGCTCCTCCTTCACCTGGCCCGGTCATGAGCACGCGCAAAGGACGTTCCATGTAGATGCAGCACAGTGTGCGATTTGGGGTCCCAGGTGCACGTGACAATCCCAAAGAGATTTTGTGGTCACAGCCCGGATTTGGCACTTACTCCCCTGCCCTCTGGCCCATCTTTTCCGAGTAGACACATCTTCCCTGAGTCTCCGCCCTGCGTGTCTGTGGCCAGCCCAGCTGCTCCTGCCCAGAGCCCAAGCCCGGCTCTGCCTACAAGCAAAGGCTTTGCTAGGGACATGTTCTCTGGCCTTGCTCTGTGATTCACAATTTCCTTTGTTGCAATGTTAAAATTAATTTAATATGAGTGTTTCTTATTTAAGAAAGTACAATGATCAATAGATAGTCTAAGCTACTTTATTGGCTGGATGATGCAAGATTGAAAAGTAGTTCTTCTTGTCAGGTATGGTGGCACATGACCGTAATCCCCTTACAGGAGGCTGAGGCAGGAGCGGGAGGGTCATAGTGAGTTCCTGTTCAGTCTAAACAACATAGTCAGACCCTAGCAAAAAAAAAAAAAAAAAAAAAAAAAATCCCACTGTAGGTTTCTATAGGTATTTGCAGGAAAATATCTTCTGGTAGGGGCAAGGGATTTAGCTCACAGATCCAAGCGTTTGATTGGTAAGTGTCCAGAGTTCCATCCCCAGTGCAAAATAAATAAATAAATATCTTTTGCTGTATTTCACTATGCAGTAGATACCACAGTGTGCTCCAAAGAAAGAACACTAAACCATCAGGTAATGCATTTTCTGTATCCCTGTTTCAAATCTGGTTTAATCATGGAACTATTCTGTGATCTGATTCTCCTCATCACCAATCTCTGCCTCTGTCTCTGTCTCTGTCTCTCTCTGTCTCTGTCTCTGTCTCTCTCTCTCTCTCTCTCTCTCTCTCTCATGCTTACTCTGTCTTTCCCATTCTCTTCCTCTCTCTACCCTTCCTCACAGCAAAATCAAGGTTACAGTGAAACTCTGTACCCTCTCTCAGGTCATCTGTCCCCAGTAAATTTTAAACTACGGTGTGAATATTAAGGTGGAGGTTTTTAATCTTCTGACATTTCTTTGCAATTTTAAATGCTGTATGCAATTTGATTTATCCAGTCTTTAAAATTTGTTTTTCAAATACCTATTAAGAAACAGATTAATTTTTGCAGAAACTTTGCTGTTTTTATAATTACTAACTTAAATATAGTTTTATTTTCTACCTAACTAAGAATAAACTCTGGCACTGTTTGTTACTTTCTTCGCAAGGTTGATTTTAACAAACTTGATAAAACCCAGATGTCCGTGTACATGGATAGTACTTAGCAACCCAGCAGTGGGTCTGTTTTATCAGCAAAGGCATCTTCAGCCTAACTTTCAAAAGCTCCAACCTCCATCCCAAAAGATCTAAAGGAGAAAGTAAAAAAGAGGTAATTCAAACTGCAATCTGAAAGACAGAGCGTTTGACTGGACACTTAGGAGACAGTTGTGTTTAGGGATGTGGACTTCTACTCCAAACGGAACTGAAGCATAAGCTAATTACTCACTGTAAATGTCTTGCAAGATGATATTTACCAGCCTATAAAATATCCAGTAGTCTCTGGCTCAGATGCAGTGCTGCTGATACAAGCATTATAAAGTGATGGTTCTTTAGTCAAGTAAAAAGAATTCTGGATTTTCCCTCTTTTCTCCAGGTGAATGTTGGCTATTTTTTTTCTTAGTTTCAAAATCATGAGTACTTATGTTTTATGCTTTTCTGTTTCCAAAATATATAAAAGCTATTTTGCATAGCAAAATACATGTAAACAGAAGAATATTTAAAAATATACAATAAAAAAGGTTATCACATTAACCAGAATAAAAGCACATTGCATCTATTAGGATAGGCTAAATTTTTGGATTTCTAGTAATCTCTTAAGAATTACCAAATTAATAGTATGATTTCACTATAATATAGTAGCTGCTTGAGAATAATGTGTGTGCATATACATTTATATGCATTCCTCAGAAAACGCCACACTACTGAAGGCATTCATATCTCTTCCTCCATCACCCTTCTCTTAAGAAAGTATGGCAGTCTGGCCATGGTGGTGCATACCTATAAACCAGCACTTTGCACACTGAGACAGGAGGATCACAAGTCACAGCCCAACGTGGACAACTTAGTGACCCAACTATACCCTATCACAAACATTCTCTGAAAAGGGATGGGCATGCAACTCCATGCAAAGGCCCTGATTTCAAATCCTGGCACTGCAAAAATTACATAAATAAACATCTCTCTTTAGTATGAAAAAGAATAAAGGAGGTAAATCTGCATCCTAATTTGTCCCCGTATTTATTTCTTTGCTGCTTGAAAAGATTAAAAATTCCATAATTCATTGATTGATGCTGTGTTCATTTAATGATGAATTAACTATAAAAATTCAGGATCACTGCCTTGGTAATTGAAAACAACATCACAAATTATGTAGTAATTTAGAGTCATTTTGCATCTGACAAATATTTTTATATTCTAAATTTTATGATGTAGTTGCATTTTATATCTCTCGTAAAGAACCAATCAAGAAACACAAAAGAAACTAACATTACAAGTTTAATATATTTTAAAATATAGAAATACATTTAAACAGCACATTTAAAGAATAATATTATAGACTTCCATTTCTTATTCTCTCAATAGGAAAGTGTTAATTGAAAATATATTACTTAATGTATCCTCAATATAGTTAATGCCGTATTTTCTGTAAGATAAACTGTTTTAAAACAATATTGTAATATACCTGAATTATAAACAAACCATAATGATTTTGAGTCAATCACTGTCATAAGTTTTGTTTGAAAAATCCAAAAGGGCAATCAATCATTGGATGATACTTTCTGAATATTTTAAATGAATGTAAATAACTTTGACTGTGGAGTTATCATGAGCAGTAATTACTCAACCCAAAGATCATTCCTCAAGAAGTCGGTGTATGTTAAAGAAAGACTTTAGCTGGATTTCGACAGAGAAAATAAATTAATTTCAGAGGCAAGAACATTTATGCACACAATTGGAAGAGAACTTTCCCGTTTGGAACTATTTGTGCTTGAAGGAAGGCTTACCAAATTCTTCACAAAATAAGGTTTTCATTGAGTTCCTTCTCACAGATATGAAAAATGGATCTCAGCTGTTCTTTTCAACTGGCAATTCTGGCAAAGCCATTCTGAGATTTTCAGTAATTTCCTTCAGTTTAGTTTCAGTACTTTTACCCTAAATAAAATCCCTTGTATCACATCAATCAACAAACTCAGTTCTAAAAGAGACTAAAGAAACTGGCTGTGTCTGCATCCCTAGCGCTGGCATATTTTATGCATGCAAGGTCTCTGCGGGGGTGCAAGTGAGCACATGTAAATTTTCTTTAGTTTGGATGATGATTTTGAATCTGAAAAAAAAAATTACAGCAGTAATGTTCTAGACAATGGTAGGCATGCATGATTTATTTGAGGTGAGAAGCTGCACTATAGTTTTTAATGTTAATTTGGAAAAGTATGGACAAGGCTTTTAAAGCCTGTCTCCATAGAATTCTTAAAGCTTTGAGCTTCTTATAAAATCTTCAGTGCACAAGCCAAGGAGGAATATACTCCTCCAGTTACACGAACTGTCTTAAAGCAAACAGAACAATTACGTGCAATCTTTCAGCTTCTATGTCCTTCCTACCAATTATTTATTCAAACTCAGTTCAGCATTTAACTTTATCTAATGAAGCAGAAACTTCGAGAGAAAAATTGTGTTTATCCAAGCATTTTTTTGTTTGGGTTGTTATTTTTTTAAAATTTTATTTCTAAATAAATATCCTATCATAGTTTTCCTTGGCACAATACAACCAAATGTATTCAGTTTCCTTGAACAGTATTAAACAGTCAAAGGGGTTCTGTTTAGTCTCAGAAAATTATATAAAAATTGTATTGGAAAAAAGCTGAACCAGACTAAAACTGGACTCTGTATCCTACTGAAAGTTAGACTGAATGATCTATTGTATAACAGTGAACTAAAAATAGGTTTTGCTGATCCAGCATTTGCAAAGGAGGACGTATCCTTTTAAATAAATAAAAATGATTATATACATATTCTACATATGAAGAAAGATGAAATAATTCAGACTAATTTAGAAAATTGCCCTTTTGTCTGCTCTTTATTGCAGTCATAAACCTTAACACAAGCCTTTTTGTTATTACTATAGTTATTTCATATTAGTGGCAGCCACATGAGCGCACAACCATGTTTCTATATTTTTTCAAAATGACATTGGAGCTGTCATCAAAGTACAGAACAGAGATGGCGTTTAATTTTGTTGGAGCACAGCAAGGCTTTGGTACATGGTCAGGAAACATCAGATGGACCTAGAAAAGAAACAAAACAAGGTCTTTTTAAGAAATAGGGTACATGAATTTTGTATCTTTAAAATAATATGCTTGCTTTTTAACACATAAAACCAGGCAAATCTTTAATCTACTTACCCTACTCTTATTTATGTTCTGTGATGGACTGAGTTGGTGCTGGTGAAAAAGATGTATTCCTAAGCAATGACACCAAAAACAACTCACCAGTTCTAATTATGTGATGATTTATTTGAGGTAATAAAAGTTGTTCTTCAAATAAAGAAAAATTTCTATGTATCACTTAATGGAAATTTTCCTAGGGAAGAACTTGGTAACTAGCAGAGTTGCTTTTAGTTGAAATGCGACTGTTTTTATTTACACGATGCGAAATATGAAAGTTATAATTGCAAATCAAAAAGACATAGTAAGATGATAGAAAGATTTGGACCTGTGGATTATTTTTAGAAGAATAACTAAGTGACAAATCATCAATGTTACACCAACTTTTAATTTTCCATGGTGAAAGAAATATAACAATCATAATGAAATAAAATGCAGATCAAATCCAGTGCTTCTTTTAAACCAATGATTTTAACTCTTCTCCATAGTGTTTTTTGTTTATTTAGCATTTTTCCAGACTTGTTGAAGTTTAGTATCATTTTACATTCTCTCTCCTCTGCCCACTCCTAGCGTTGCCAAAAGCAAGTAAAATTAATTCAGAAGCAACAGGACCAGGTTCCGTAAACTGAATATCCATCTCCCCAAAGCTTAAAAAGGTAGCTATACATAAAAAGTGAAATGCTAAAGCAAAACATGGGTGCTCACTTTGATCAGCTTGGCAGTCTGCCTCAGGGACCCAGCAAGGAGCCAGAGCTGGTTCTTCCCTTTCCCAGCCACCTACTCCAGCCCTTCCCCTGCGGAGGGGTTCATGGGAAATCGCACTGATGGCCCTTAAGGGAACTGCAAAAGGCAAATACAGCCTCTTAGCATTTTGGCTGCAGCATCCTGGCTGAAACATTATAGGAGCCTTGCATGGGGGCGGGGGCAAAAAACAACCCAGCAGGAAAATTAGGCAATCTGACATGATCTTGAAATTTCCTAAGACCGCACAAAACTAAAAACTGAATAATTTCTACACATTTCAGATGCAGCTTGTGTTCCTCATCGGCTTTATCTTCCATGACCACACGTACATGATTGATAATCCCTAAGTTCCAATGGCCTTGGCAGTCTCATGGTGCAGTCGCTCTGAGAAAACAGATTGTCCTTGAATGATTTCTCAAATATATTAGTCACAAACATGCTTTCCTTTAACGATAAACATGCCTATCTTCCTGTTTCATGTCCTTCACAGAACAAATGTAGAGAGTGCACAACTCCCGGGGGTGAGGGGGGATCAAAGTTCCCATGTTTGCTTGAGTTTTACAATGACTTATATCCTACATCCCGGGGTAGACACAGAGCGAGATTTTCTTCCAAGTTCATGTCAGACTTTTAAAAATGTTTGTGTTTCAGTGCTCCCTTGTAGACTGCAGTCCTAAGAGTGGACAGTATGCAACCATATATTTGTACGAAAAAAGGAACGAGGAGTGAAAGGGGGAATATTTGACAAAGAATTTTTGCCAATAAGTAAGTACTGCTTATCCTGGGAGCACCTTTGATGCATTCGATGTGAATCTGTGGAAATGAAATTCTGCATTCTTAGTCACTGGAACAGAAATAGCCAAAGCATTTTCTGAAAAATGAAGCAGCACTACTTTATAAGCTAGTAAGAGCCGTTCCCCTGTGGCCATACGGAGCAGCAGGTATCAGGACTTTCTCCAAAGATGCAAGAGCGCACTCCGTTCTGTCTGTCACGGTTTGAAGTGTGAATGTCGCGCTCCACCTCTGCTGTCTGCCTATTCTCTGTTTCTCCTGGAGATGCTCCCTGGCACTGAGAGGTGTTTATATTTATAGACAGCAAAAGTGAAGGCATATCAGGCTTTAAGATCCATCTAGGAATTTCTACTGAAGTAGAAGGTGCTAAGGTAGCTTAGGGTGCAGATGGCTGCCCATATTTTCTTTACCTTTCTGTTTTTCTTCATATCAAAGTTATTTCCAAAGTCTTTGATAATAAACATATTCTAATTATCGTACTGAATTTTGTGCTCCTTTCTTCTAAGGAATCTTATCAAGTTAATAAAGATTACAGTAAAACACCAAGTCACTCAATTATTTCATATGTATATCAAATTAGTTTAAAATTTAAGCAGATGGAAGAAGTATCCTAGTGTCTTTCAGAATAAATATATCCTCTATGTGCCTACATTTTGAATTAATTGTGAGGGAAAAAGTAGCTTTCTATAAAATAAAAATCTATGAATTCTAAGAGCACTGTAGTTACTTGGTAAGGGTGCCATAAACAAGTCACACCAAAAAGGTAGTTTTCTCTAATGTCCACTGCACTCATTCTTTGTGCTGTCCATCCAGTAATTGCGCTTCCATTACTGAGTCTCCATCCCTAAAACAAGTATGTCTTCCTTTTCCTCCTCAACACATGGAGATCAAATTTTCCCAGTAACCCGCAGGTTAGTAGGCCACAGCCTTGCATACCTTCCACGAGCCTCTCCCTTAGCCTCCAAGGTGAGGGGGCAGGGACCACACCCTTTGCACAGACTCCACTCTGCCTCTCCTCAGTCCTGGCTCCTACCCCTCCAGATTTCCCCCTTACTAAATCACACAGACGAAGCAACCACGAGGCAGACCCCTGTCCTGGAGGACTTCCTCTCAAAAAGCTCCTCTCACCCCAAAAGCCACTCCTTGTCTTCACCCAGCACAAAACAAAGAAGAAACTTCATATTTGGAAATAAGTCCAGACCCCCAGTCCAGGGCGTGACACTCTGGACTCCAGGTCAGATTTCGAACCCCACATGAGAAAGCTTGTCTGCCTTATTCTCGGCCTCCTTGGGTAATTCTCCGCATCTTGCCAAGAGAGGACTGTCCCTCTGTCATATCAACATGTCACATACCATAGACACAGCAGACTCTCAGAAGTACTTTCGTTAAATCTTCATGAGATCCGGTGCAGGCAGAGACCATCAAATCAACACTTCAATACCTTGCTCACAAAAATTTGCCTAGGATACTAGTGACCTAATCATTCTTAATTCCTGGTAGTAGAGAAAAGGAAAGCTCACTCCTATGTGAAAGATTACAGAAAGAGGATGGAAAAGGAGCAGGGAAGGGAGGGAAGCAATCAGTACATAGAAAATTGGCCTTCTACACATATACCACAATGAACAACTCTTATAATACAAAAAAAGTGCTATACAACTGTCTTAATTAGAGCAAAAACCCCCAGTTTAAATTCAGTGTAGATACCAGTCAATATTTTTGCAATGATTACTAATAAATTGTTTGGTTAAAAACAACCCATGGAATCTGCCTGGTTTGTCACACTGTAGTGGACACATCAGCACAGACCAACTACTTTCTGTGACTACTCCAATTTTTCTAGCTGAATCCCTTCCCATTCTGGACTCACGATTGCTCCTGCAGCTGACTTGAGCTTCTTGACTGTACCAACAATTATCTGGGCTATAAAAACAACCAGCAGTTCGAGAAAAAAGATAGCACATTGATAATTGTAAATAGATGCTTTTCTGTACAGCAGAATTATACAGTGCTTGTTTTATAAACCATTTCCAAACTCACAAAAACAAAGCATACCAGAGTTTGAACAATGGCATGATTGGTGGCATTCATATGAGCATTAAGTGGAAAAGAACATTCTCCATCACAATAAAAGGCAGCATATCCTTCTGGTGCTATAATCCAGTCCTGAAATGCACAAAAAGAAAAAAAAAATAATAATCTACATGAAAACAAAAACAATTCTTAAAGAATACCCAAATATTTCATCTGAGTAAGTTTCACGTGGTCCAAAAATTATTCTAATAAAGTAGTTCTTCCACACCCTGAAATATTAAATGGTAGTTTACAACAACATACAGCTATTTTCACAAGAACTGTCTTCTTTAATTTTTCTCAAGAGATTGCTAAGTGAGATATTTGTAGTGCGCATTAATGCATGTATGTATTCATGGGTTAAACTACAACATGCAAAATAGTGTTATTCAAGCAGGAAATGATGAACTCTGGAAAGTTCAAGTGAACCAGAAAGGGCAAGAAGCAGACATTTAATTGAGATAATTCTCATTAATTCTTAGTCACTCTTGTTGGTGTTAGAAGTCTGACAACCTCCTACAGCTTTTATATTTGTTCCATGTGTCATTTTCTTTTCATTCTTCTATTTTTATAGTCTCTGTAGAAGAAATGAAGTGGAGCAAATTCCAGAAAACTCCACATGAAACATTTGAGCTGAAAATTTGTTACATGTATGATTGCCCTGATATTTTCTTCCCAATGAAATAAACATATAAGAATTACTGCATTCTGTACATTGAAAATATATTAAACATTTTAAAGATATTTACAGAGCTGCTTTAGTCTATAAAACTTACTAATTCTGTTTCACTGGTAAAGAAATGAGTAGAAAATACAAATGGTGTGAATATGCCACATACTGAACACTCACTGAAAACTGACCGACTATTTTACTGGAAAAACTATAACAAAAATTATGACTTAGTATGGATTTATGATAAAGCACAAAAACAACGCCTAAAAGGTCTGAAAATTCTTACCTGCCATCCAAGATCCCGGAAACTCACATAGAGTTCATGCTTTTTGCAGGCCTGTTTTTGTTCACTTGTATTGTAATCTGGAAATTAAATAAACAACCCACAGTTTAAACAATGACAGCATATCAGACATATAATATTAGTAAGACTTTTTCATGGGGCCACAGTTGAAGATGTGAAGCATGAGACTGAGCCTCAGTGCTCCAGCCACTTCCTTTGGTCTGGTCACTTGTGCCAAGTCTCTTTTGTGCAGCACGGATGGGGTCACTGGACTAGGATTTGCTTATCACTGCCTGAGCCTGCCGTTCATGGTGTACTAGCTGTTCAATCTGTGTTGTTTTCGGGAAGCCAACACACTCCCCGGTTCTTGATATATTTGTACATGCTGAATATTTACAAATATGTTTAATCACCTTCCATGAGGCAGATGTTGAGTTCCTACTGAGTTGATTCTATTTTAATAAACATCACAAAATCAAGATGTCTCAAACTGAGCCCCTGATCAGCTCTGAAAAACCTTTCCACCTCTAGATCTCCCCATCCTCGGCTGGTGCCAGTTGCCTAGCCATGAGAATAAAACCAAAAAGCTGGGTGTCCAAATAGTTTTCTTCCACGCTCACGTCCAGTCAGTCAGGAGATCTCACATACTACTTCCTGACAGATCCAACCATGGCCCACTCTCACCACCTCGATCCCTGCTCCTGGTCCCGTCCCCTAGCCCCATAGCTCTTCCCATCAAGGACACAGAGTTCTCAGGGCTCCTCTCTCCGCCCCGCCCCTTGCTCCCTCCACCCCTTATCCCAGCTATGATTCAGCCTCCATGCTCATACTCTCACTGAACCTGCCAAGCCTCAGAGCCTTGACTCCTCCAGCTGGTCTGCTCCCTGAAATAGCCTTCCTTGTGGGTAGCTCAGCCCTCTGTTCACGTCTACGCTGAAGTACCATCTTGGCTCCCCAAGGAGGCGTTCACTGTGGCCCAAACTCTGAAGTAGTCTCGATTTCCCTTATGTGATTCTTTTCTTTTTCATTTTACTTATCATCTCACTTTTGAAATGCTAGGTCATTTACTAATTTATTGCCTGCACTGTTTCTGGTCTGCTTCCCTTCACAGCAAGACTTTGGATCTGTCCCAAGGGTCAGGGGCAGTGCACTGCACACTAGGGTGGCTCAGTAAACAACAGAGCAATTAGTAAAGGAGTTTCTCATTGTGTTCTACAAATGATTCAAAGAAAAAGAAGCACATGATTTCCATTACGTATTTTGCAACATAATCTGAATACTCCTAATTTTAGATGATTTTAAAGGATTAAATATAGATGCAGAACTCCATGCTTGTATTTGGAATAAAAACACAGAAGAAGCACAGACTAGTGCAGGACATATTTCTCTTTTTTTTTTCCTGTGAAATTTGTTCTTATTTCATGCAAATAACACTTTAAACATCAACCTACTTTTATTATTTCTGACATGAAATATGAAGAAAAAAATTATCACGAAGAATGATGGTGTGAAAGTATCACCTTTCAGTCTGTCTGTCCTCTCATTACAAAGTAGACAGATCACAGACCAAAGGGGCGTCATACAGGGCCACATCACCTGGTGTGCAGAAACTTCAAGTAAGTATTGTCTAATGGCAATGTAGAAAACACTGAGATTTTGAACTCTAGAGGACTTGTCTACTTCTTGATCAGCTATTCCTGCTGTGTAAATGAGATCAGGTTGAAGTAGATAACACAGGAAATTAGGCCAGAGCCTGCTCCCTTGTTTTCTAGGATAGTCGCCCTGCCCCTCATCACAGTCAGGGCAAAAAGAACTAACTTCAGCCAAGCAATGTCCAGCTGAAATTCGACACAGAACATGAAATGCATAAGCATCATAAAAAGCTATCACTACATTTATGCTTATTTGAATTCCATGTTTACTTAAAAAAAAAAAAATGAAACTTAGAGCCACATGTATCTGCCCCATCAGGGTAGCTCACGTGCCAGCTGAGTGAGACCCACAATGCAACATCACACACTTCAAAGCAAGGAAGTTTACGCAGAATCTGGTCTCCAAGAGTCTGGTTTCCTACAGCTTTCAGACAATGTCTTCCCCCATCAGAAATAAAAATTAATGGATGCTGAGTGAAGTTGGTATTGCACCCTAGCCAATAAAGACTGAAGTTGTGTTTCCTAGGAGCCACTGGCAGAAGAACCCTTGGGAGCAGCACAAAAAATTAGGCGGGTATCTTCAAAACCACTGATGGTCAGGCCGCAGGCCAGGAAAGTGAAATGGACGGTATTCTACTGCTGCAAACCAATCTACGAATAGTCAGACCGGAGATTATTCAGTTGTTTTAGAACTACTGTTAACACAAGGAAAAGTACGCTAACATGCCTCAGTCAGACTTCTCCGTTTTGTCTTATAACACGGGGAAAACGATTTTGAAATGCTGATCATGTTAAATATTTTATATAAATATCTTTATAATTAATTTCAAGAGACAGTAAATTTAATATTTTTAGTTTATTTATTTGTTTATTTTTGGACAGGTCTCACTAAATCACCATGATGCTCAGGCTTGACTCGAACTTAGGACACTCCTGCCTCAGCCTCCCAGAATGCTAGGATAACAAGCATGTACCACCACGCCTTGCCAGTTTAGTTTAAATTAAATCAATCATTTCACATTACAATAAAGATTATGAAAAAATATTTGGAGATACAAAGATTGTTTTTTATAAAACTGAATTCTCTACCATTCTGTTTAAATGGTATCCACACCATTTCCTGAAACAACAAATGAACAAGCTAACATACCCAGGAAGAGGATGACAAAGAAGTAAAAAGCCCTCTCTGTATCAGTACTAGTACTAGGTAGTATTCAGTTCTTTAGGAGATGGGATAGATTGTTAGATAGATGGATAGACAGACCCAAAACCGAATTTTACACTTAAGTATGACAAAAACTTAACTTCAGTTAACAAATGGTGATGAGGTACCTCTGCTTCAAAGCAAGAGATGTTAAATTTCTCACTCTTAATTTCCAAAGGAAGGGAGGTAAAGGAAATCAGTATACACCACTAGCGCAGAAGACTTCAATTTATTCATATAAAAAGGAAAGTGATGAATGAAAATATAGTAGGTAAAACCAATAAGCAGGACTGTGCAACACACTGTGAAATAATCAAGCTGGATGTAGGCTTGAGAGTAGAGAAACCTGTGCTAAGCTCCCAAACCAGGAACAATTCTATCCCAGGTTATGAAGTTAAAATATACTATTGCTACCCTACTTTAATTACCCCGTTCCATACGCACACTCCAAAATTCATCCACTTGAATGTGAACACAATCTGAAGGCACTGCTGTGATTATTTGTGTAGGAATATCTGTGTTTGTCTAGGGACAAATCTGTGACCCCAAACAAATACCCGCCAAATAACAGCTACCTAGTGTGTTTCCTTTATTGTACATAGCGAAGCATCTGGGCGAGTGGCCCAAGCAGCATCTCCAACTTGGAGTCCATTGACGTAAAACCTTAGCCACAGCTTCAGTTTCCAGCTGCCTGCTGACTGTCTCCAAGTGCAAATGTCCCAATTGGGTCCCAAACAGTTTCTATTTCTGATCTCATATTGTTTTGATTTTTATAATTTTTACTAATAAGATCACTGTTTGCTTAGTGACCAATGACAGAAAATGTATTAGGTTTCTTTATTTCTTTCTCCTCAGAGTCTACATTAATTAGGTCCATACAGCCCTAACACTTAATCCTTTTCCATATGCCAGTCCAGAGGGCCCCTGGGACCCTCTGCTCTCTTGGTTATATCATCTTTTCTCGACACCTTCCTCTGCTCACTTTGAAACTTCACATGATCTCTCCAACTCCTGTCCTCCTACATCTTTAACTCCAAATCTCACTCTGTGGTTTCATCTCTGCATAATTTCCATGCGCACACCAGCCCGTCAACACTGGTACATGGTCCTGTAATTGTGCACATCACTCTGAACAAGTTTCATCCATCCCCACCCCCCAACCCAGCCTCACCCAGAAAATAGCTATTATTTTTTCCAGGTACCTGAAGTCATTCTTATCCAAGATTACATTACAGAAAATGTGTACCCAGTATTAAGTGTCAGACAATAGATAGCTAAAGGTACAAGTGGAGCTAACTAACTTTGTTTTACGTGCACAAAATAATTCTATTAGGAGAGGTTTCAAAAATTTTTCATCACTCAAAGAATAGATATTGGCTATGGATGTCAGTCTTTATGCAAATCATTTGGATTAGAAACATTTTCACCTCTATAATACAAGTACAGTAGGGTTTGCAATGCAGCACTGATTTCCAGAGGCTCAGCTTGGAAATGACCAAAGTGTTTGTTAAGTGATATGAACATATAAACTCATTCTAGTGTTATTAAAATGCTGCAACAGTTAAAAGGAATGAGGTCATTATATTTGAATACTAAGACACTTTAAAAAGCACATAAAGTATATAATTTATGTAATTAACAACAAAAATATATCCTTTCAAAATAGATGTATATATGGAGAAAAATCTTAGAAGCATACATAGCAGTTAGTATCAGTGAAAGGGGTAATAAGTTTATTGACGATCTTATTATTTTTAAATACTAAAAATGTGTATTAATCCTATATAAAAATTTTTTTGAAAAAAATAACTCCAGTTAACTCTATTTTCTTGTTTTGATTAATATCCATTGTTCCTAGAGGTAAGAGATCCGCATGTCAGAGGCTAGAATAAGTGCAGAATGCTGCGATTTGGTTAATTATATGAAAGTCTTAACCTGAGAAGCGGCTGTGGGTTTAGGCAGGGTCACCACGGGATGCATCCACTTTCAGAGGTTCTTACTACCGAGCACGACACCAGCAGACCTGGCTAGCATTTCTCTGGCGAGTCAGAACTTGCCATTTTTCTTGTTTATTTTTTCAGATTCTTTACTCCACGGTTTAGCATTTGGGGAAGCTCTTAGAACATCATACTCTGGGGATTGTTTAAAAAACCTCCTCAGCTCTACTGTCTGTAAAAGACTGGTTAGCTTACAATTTAGCTATCGTCTGAATCTTTTTATTCTGCGCAATGAAATTTCCACTGTGCATATCCGTGTGAGATGCATGGTCTTCCCCAGGCCCCTGCTCAGACTTCCTGCCAAAACCGGGAAGAGGAAGGACATGGAGGTGGGGCGGAGGGGCAGCTTCTGCCGGAAAGCCTGGGGCAGTGTTTCTACAGACTTGCACTGGAAAGAGAGCATTAGACTCCAGCACTGTGACTTATGCCTCTATAATACAAGTACAGTAGGGTTTGCAATGTGAGGGTCTGCGGGGCCCCTCTGTGTGGTGCACGTTTGCTGTGCAGGGCTCTCCTGTGGCAATACCAAAAAGAAAAGGACATTGAAAGTCAGAAAGCAGGAGTCTTTCAACAGGAAATAAATACGATCAAGATGGCCAGAATGGCGTGGATTTTAATTTCTCCTGCATCTTCCTCTGTTTGACACTTTCCACATTTAATCATGGGCTTTGAAAAGAAATGCAACCAGGCAAGCACCCAATGCGTCCCTTCCCTGCCTGCCTCCCGCCACCTTCTCTCAGCCAGGGACTTTGCACAGTGTTTTACTGTAGGAGCACAGTACTATTATAGAGTTTATTATTTATATTTAGATAATTTTAACATTTCCCTGGCATTTCAAGTCTCGTAAGTATCAAATTTTCTGTGTATATTAGCATTCCCTTTTCTTAAAGCCTTGTCTTTCAAGCCAAATCCTAGGAGGCTTTTCCCAGTCTGCTTGATTACTACCTATTGAAAGGTTAGGGCTCAGAGACACAAACCAGCTACTTTTCCCCTTTTATTATCAAAATATGAACATGCTCCAAAACCATCTACCACATATTTCACAGAAACAGATGCCAATGACAAACTTTTTAAAAGAAAATATTGGTCTATATTAGAAAGGTTTCATACTCTAAATGGTGTTAGGGAACTGATGAAAAGTTACATGATTTTTGCTCCATGTGTTTTATTCATCTATGGTTACAGAAGTACATTTGTTACTTGTGGTCAGTAAGAAAAGATAAATAGAGTTAACCAATAGGGAAAAGGACTTTGATGATTTCAGTTGCTGGAACACCTCTGCCAGAGTAATTATGACCTCTAATAATAAATATGAGACTTATATTTTTCCCTTTGTAATTCCCTCAGAACTTACTTACTATTCTATTCAAAGTTCACCAAGCCCTTTTCTTAATGTGGTCTGCTACATTAAATTAAAAACATTTCAACCAAATTCAGAGTCATTCTACATGAAAAGGAAAATATACAACTTTGGCAGGCTAGTATTACGAAGAAGAAATGGTCTGAGAGGGTTGGTTTTTTTCATCTTCATATTAAACAATTATTCATTTTTGCCAACTTAAGTATCTTGTGAATGTTACAAAATAGTTTTTGTAATAAGCTTTAATATCCTCTTTTACTCTCAAGAGGAAAAAGCAGTTAAATGTCTTTGATAAAGAATTATTTTCAAACAACTTTTTACAAATTTTAAATGTAATTTGATGGAGGATTCTTCTTTTCGATTCTGTTGCTTGATCACCCAAAATAGTCTCCTTCCCAATGTTATTCTCTGGTGCCTACCTTTCATGAGGGCTACAGTGAATCCATTTAGCATTTTATTGAGCACCCCATGGTGCAAAAACAAACCCCCAAAACAAAAATGAGACTTTTTAAGAATTTTGTTTTATGATCATTTGTTTTGTTTTATAATCATTTATTTAAACACTCAAACATACTTCAATGGTAAATAACTTCTAGGTGATTTGTCATTTTCGAAGTAAGCTGAGAAAGCTGAAGGTCTTAGGAACAATGTTAAAGGCAATTTGAAATTAGAATTCTAGTTTGTTGAAACTCCACATGCACAAGTCCTGCCTGTTCTGTGTCTCAGCTTGTGCACAGGGCCTGGTGGAATGGCCTCACATGTTGGCCATTAACACTGAGGAATGTCCACTGCACAAGTAAACAACCACGTTGCACTGAGTTGGAATATTCTAGAATCAAAATTCCTATTCAAATTTATGTTTTATAGATAAAAATAATTTCTTAGAAGAATACAGCCACCATTTTCATCTAAAACTGGCTTGTTTGTAGCCCACACAGGATTAACTCACTTCAGATTTTGGCAGTTACGTATTTTCTGATTAATTGCAATTTTGTCTTCTTTTCTATCAAAAGATCTACTAATGTCCAAGTATACTGACATCAGTTGTGCATTCATACTCTATTGTTGACACATTTTATATATATACGTTAGATATATATGTAGAGTCGCACCCAGAGCACATGATCAAAACAATGATCCTGCAAATAATTAATGGAAATAGAAATATTACCTTAATTCTCATCAATCTATCCTGCTTCTTTCAGACAGAATTTCTGAAAAGGATTTTCAGAAAGGATTTGAGCTGCATGACTCATAGCTTAATACTAAAGAAAGAATTTGATGCAGAATTTACCTGGTAGACTCTTCACATTTGAGAGGCCTTGGGAAGCTGGCTCAGCAAGTTGTACCTCTCAGTTCTGGCCAGATTTTGCCGCCCTGTCCGTTTCATGATTTTATTACTGCCAGCCTGATTTTAATTTTCCCTGAATCTTTCAACATGGGAAAGCAGGTCAGACCTACTTCAAAATGAATTACTGAGTGATTCACTGATGAAACATTCTGGGGATGCTGGAAACATCCCGAGAAGATTTAATACACCAAAGGAAGGTGCACAGAGAGGGTAAATGGATTGCGGAAACTTGATTTGCAACATACGATCCCAATAACTCTATGTACAAGTGCCGCTCTCATTCTCCTCTTACCTCCAGCACTGGACATCCTGGAGGAGTCCTGATGAGAGCTGGATTTATTGCGGTTTTGATTTTTCCGTTTGTTGGTTGCTCTCACAGATCGAAGGAGAACCTCACTGGCCTTAAAGAAGGCCACCATGAACGGCTGTTTAGACTGAGGCCCGTGTCTTCCCACGAGACCGGCGGACTTCACATTGATACTGCGTC